CCAGAAGGTTGAGAACCACTGCTGTAAAGGAACCAGTCACCCCGTGTCCGCTGACCCCTGTGGACGTAACCACTGGCGTCGTCCCCATCCGGAAGCTGAAGGAGCTCAGACTCGGAGGATGGGTGGCTCGCCAGGTGCCCGGAGCTGGTCAGTGGAGAAGGGATTTGAACCCAAATCTGTTAAAACTCCCAGGCCTAAGCTGCGAACGGAATGACGTGCCCTATGAATGCAAACGCATCATGCTTCAAAGAAGCTTGCTAATTGTATTTCTTAAGTTACACAAATAATACCAGCCCAGAGCGGAGATCCAAGTGCACTGAAAAGTGCCCAGGAGGGAAGGCCGACTTACCCTTCAGGCTGAGAGGTGAGCTGTCACTGGATGCATTCCTGCTGCTCTCTAAGCTGCTCGGCCGGGACCCTGAGGGAAATGGCAATGCTTAACTGAAGGGCCGATGACCAGTCTAACCCGGACTAAACCATCCCATCGGACAACTGCATCACAAAGCGACTCTGCCGTGGTCCAGGGGAAGCCCCCGGGAGGAGACCCTGGGATTCCTGACGCCCCCCGGAGGGGTCCAGCCTCACCTGAGTGCTAGGCCCGTGCACAGAGGGCAGTGGGCCATGCAGAATGGCAACTTGTAACATCCATGTCTGTGAGGTCTGGGCTGTGGCCTCACACAATTTTGTTAGCAAAGGAAATCTCATGCAGACCTCCAGTACAGATTAAAAAAGGGCCGCTCTGGGAAAGCAAAGGGTTGGGGGGTTGGGAGAAAGCCCACCCATACTGCCGCATCGATCTTTCCGGAACACACGTGGGAACACTGTGCCTAGACCAGCACAGGGCTCCCTCGTGAGGGCGGGGGCCAGGACACGCAGTGTGTGCACGTCCACGTGTGTACAATGACATCTGTGCCCGAGCGGGTGCTGGGACCCTCAGGAGGGAGGAAGTGCTCGCTTTCTGAGAAGGCTGGTGTCCCTTCCACGGACACTTCCACTAGGCCTCAGTCAGAGGCCAGTGTTTCTAACACTTTCTAAGGTGAGATTTACCACTGGGAGCTGCTCTGGGCACTAAAATCCAGGTGAGGACAGTAGAGCCCCCTGCAGTCAGTGTCGTCTGCAGGGGTCACTAGGCCTCCCTTCAAGCCAGGGGAGTCAGAGCCTCCAGGAGTAGGACACGTGATAGGTAGTGAGTTCCCCATCACGGGAGGGATGTAAGCAGGAGCCGCATGCTTCCGCCCCTAGGAGAGGCAGGGAAGGAGTGTTGAGGAGCTGTGGGTCCCCCGTTCCCACTCCAGCATAACTACTCCACTTTCACCTCCTTTGTGTGTGGGACTTGCACACACGACTTAGCTTGAAGGACAAGCACAGTTGATGGAAACAGGGTTCTGTCGCAGAACCCAGGCTGAAGGGCACCACCCACCGCCCACTCACCGTGCTGCTGCCTGTGGTTGGCGAACTCGAGCTCCAGGGACCGCTCACAGAGGCTGTCATCTGAGTGATAGCCTGCGGAGAACATACGGCTGTGAGTCAGGGGACCTGGAACATCCAGGGGGAACCTGGGCCTCCTGCCAGACGGCCACCTCTGACGCTGGCCCAGCCCCTGCATCGTGGTCGTGTCCAGCTCCTGGAGGAGGGAGCCTTAGGTCCTGCCTGTACTATATCTCTCCCCCTATTTCTCCTGCCGACACAGCCTCATACTCCGGACTCTATCTGACTCGACGTTAAATCATGCTTCCGCAGGCGCAATGCCTGGGACTCCGAATGAAAGCAGCAGCGTCCTGGCCTAAGGGCAATGCAGCAAAAGCAGCTGAGACTCAGTATCCCGGGAGCCCCTCCCACCCTCCAGGGCCAGCTGCACCAGAAGCAGGGGGCCTGCGAGCAATTCTCTCCCAGGGCCTTGTATCTCCCGTGGCTGGAGGAAGGAAAAAGGAAAGAACCCACCACTGGATGGAGGATGCGGATTCCCTAGAGACTGAGCCCTGAACCGGCAGCTCCTCACCAGAAACAGTCCGGAACCCAAGGGCCACCAGTCACTGCTCTTTCCTGAGAAGGACTAAGTTGCCCTGTGCCTCCAGCCTGCTAGGTTGTTGCTGACAGCAGCCCTGGGTCCCCTCTAAAATGACACCAGAGTCTCCCCTTTGCCACAGTTCTATGTCCACCTGAGCGTGAGCACTGGGCTGCCAGAGAGTTGCTGTGGGCAGTGCTGGGTGTGCGGTGTGACAGGCCCTCGGGCAGGCTCCGCAGGATCTGAACAGGTGTGGGCTCTGGCTCAGGGTGGGATCCAGGCCGAGACAGCCCGTGGTCAGCCTGGAGCCACACTGGCTGCTGGAAATCCGACGGGACATGGTGCTCCCGGCTCCTGCTCAAGCCTGGGAGACAGAGGCCGTCTGCTGACTGCCCACCCGGACCCCGGAGCATGCTGCCCGGCCGGCACACGGCACAGCTCCCCTGATGCCCAACAGTAAGTGGCTGCCCTCTGTGTCCGGCCAGGAGCGCAGAAGGGCCGCCTGGCTGCCCAGTGCTCACTCAACTCAGATTCTGAGGGTGTTTCTGATTTGTAAACAAGGGGCCAGGCCCTGAAGCCGACCCAGGCAGCCCTGAGGACAGGGACCCTGTCTTTGCTCGGCTTGTCAAACCAGGGCTATGCATGCCAGAGCGTCCAGGGTGCAGTGGATGGTACGATCATGAAAAACAATAACCTGCTGAAACTGGTTTGGCTCAGTGGATAGAGTGTCGGCCTGCGGACTGAAAGGTCCCAGGTTCGATTCCGGTCAAGGGCATGTACCTTGGTTGCGGGGCACATCCCCAGTAGGAGATGTGCAGGAGGCAGCTGATGGATGTTTCTCTCTCATCGATGTTTCTAACTCTCTATCTCTCTCCCTTCCTCTCTGTAAAAAATCAATAAAATATATTTAAAAAAAAAAACCTTTTCTCATCAATTTCTAACACGCCGGGCCATCATTGTCAGCTCATTCTGCTATATATAGATATTTCCATCTCTAAGCTATGAGCTGAATCTCTTTTTCAGTGTTGTGTTATTTTCCCTTTCTGTTAAGTATTTAAAATTTCCAAGTGCTCTCCCCGCGAATGCTCCTTTTTATAGCGTCCTGCCGGTTTCACGAAAGCGTGCAACTTCGCTTGCTCTGATGCTAATGACGGGCGTTTCAAAGTGTATGTCTCTGCCCAGTGACCGCTGACTCTGCTGCTCTCACATCCGTTTGTCTCTGGCGTTGCGGGCTCTCCTCAGGTGTCGGGGTCCTGAATCCTCACGGGCCTCACCTGGCAAGATGTGACCCGAATGCTCTGCTGGGAATGTCTCCTGCTAATCAGATGCCTTGAAGGATTGTATTAGCACATCTAAGGTGCGGACACCATGGCTACTGGCATCCTGGAGACATCCAACCTGTCAATCCTTCCCCGAACCCCCTTGCTTTTCAGTTAGGACACCTGCCCTCCACTCTACCAACCGACCTCCAGTTCAGAGACCCTGTCAAGCCTCCTCCCAGGAGAATAAACCTCGAACGTTGCCGGATTTTAGCCCAAGTTCTGGTTCACCTCTGTTCGGGAGCTACTTGGTGCCACCGATTCCGAGCAGTGGTGGTGGGTTCTAGGGCTTTCCTGTGAGCGGCTTAGGCCCAGGCCTCCAGAGGGTGGAGTTATCCGCCAAAGCCACACCGCCATGGGCAGAGCTGAGGCCTGAACCTGTGTCCGAGGGAGGCCAAGCCTGTCCACAGCTTCACCAACCTGCTGACCACCTCTGAGTCTGAGAGGCCCCCCTGCCCCTGAGAGCCAGGCTCTTCGGGAAGGACCCCGGCCCAGAAGCTCCTCCCTCTCGGTTCTAAGGGACACGTGACTCACCTTGGGTGCGGCCTGGGTGCCGGGAGATGGGGGTGGAGCTGGAAGGAGCTGCAGTGACGGCTGAGGATGCACAGGCCCGGGAGCCCAGCTCTGACGGCCAGGGCTTGGTGGCTGGCTCAGCGGAGGCATCCGTGCGGTCAAGGCTGCCTCCGTGTGGCGACCCTCGCTTTGGTACTAGGTCCCCAGGGCCTGGGGCAGAGGAGGACAGTGAGTACTGGGGCTGCAACATCCCATGCCAAGGTGGGGTGATCACACCGAGGCCTAGAAGCAGCGGCAGCAGGGCACACGGAGCACAGGGACAAAAGCTGGGCTGCGCGCCTCACGGGCTGTGGTCGGAACGGGAGGGCCTGAGCTGGAGGCCCGGGAGGCCGGCCCTTGCTCTAACCATAGATCACAGTTCGAGCCCCAGCAGCCGGGAGAAAATACTAGTAAAGGACCAACTCAAGAGGCTCAACGAAACGCTGCTAAAAGTCCAACACATTAGCGACTGGGCCCACCTGCTGTGTAACACTGCCACTCAAATCCCTGATTTAAAAAGACCCTGACTAATGTCTGCTCAGGGCCACTGGAGACCTGTGGCCTGGGCCCTCAAGGTCCAGGATGTGCACCCTTGTGATCTGAGAAAGGTGTTTATTGCCACCCTAACCACCATTTGTTTAAGAAGTCTTCATCACCGCTAGGAAGATTTTTACCTTGTATTTTGCACTTTTCTGCAATCTCTGAATTTTCTACCATGAACATACTAATATACTCTTGTCAAAGTTAAATAAAATCCTAATTTAAAAAAACAAACACTGGGGAAAAATACCTAAAAGATCTTCAACGACCTCTTAGCAGGAAAGGGGATGGGCTCTCCACATACAAGTGAAAAGTTAATGTGGGTGGAGTTCTAGAAGCATTAGGACAAGGCTGTTTTGCACAGCGTCCTGCTCCAGGCCGCCCAAGGGCGTGGACCCAGAGCCATGTCCGCTGTCGGGATTCTGACCTGTCTCCACTCGCCCAGGACCTGACCCCCGACCCTCAGCCACTCAATGTCTGGACTCACGGTCAAGTTTGAAGCACCCAAGTCCTACGACTTCAAACCAAGGGAACTTTTGGATTCTGAAAGGTCACCTTGATGAGAAGCAAGATTCAAGGCGGGTGGAATGAATCGGACAGGCAGCCACTGCATGAAGTGAACATGAGGAGCAGAGGAGAGGCGGAGATGAGCCAACAGCAGCAATGGCAGAGAAACCACACATTTCCAACAGCATGCTGGGAAGACAGGCAGAGGACCAGGACGTGGCCGCCCAGGAACCAGAGCAGGTGCGCGAGACGAAGTCAGTGCCACATCAACTGACTGAACAGTGCGGCAGTCACGGATTTACGTTGATGATTACCTTGTTTCCATGGCGATACTGGTTTTCCATTTATAGTACCGATAATCATCTTTCCTTTTAAAATAAAGTTAAATGGAAACCGGGAGTCGATTCGAGGGGAGATATGTAAGTGATCACAGAGGTGATACAGACATGGCAAACGCATGGAGATGGTACAAGGATGGCTGAAGACAGAAAGCAAGGCAGTAGCTAAAGGCCTCTGTGGACCAGCACTCCCGGCTCCCGGCTGACTGGGAGCTGATGTTCTGTCTGTCCACTGCTGCCCTCACAGCAGCATCCAAGATGCCAGAGGACCGTAGCTTGGTCCTAAAACGGCACTCCGGGCTGAACCCTGGCTCAGCAACATCCATCCAATTATTCAAAATGCTTGAGTGCAGCAATAAATTCTTCAGAACATGGAACACATCTAAAAAGGGACTTATCTGCACAAGCCAACCATCCCCTGCTCCGACAAGGGAAGTGGGGAAAAGGGCAGCGGTTTTAAATGCAGCTGCTTAAAAGTAAGTCTTTACAGAGGCTGTACGTTTTAGGAAGCATAGCAACAGCTGACCAGTTCTGCGTGACACACGGCATGACATACAAGCCTGCAGGTGCGGGAGCGGGCAGCACTCGGCCAGGGACTCACTGGGCAGGGCATCCTGGCCACAGGCCTGTGCGTGGCTGTCTCGAGGCTCCCCTAACACTGCGCGGCGCTGGAGTACCGTCCAGAGGGTGTCACAACTCATCTTCTCTTTTGAAATCAGAATCCACGTTGGCTGTTGTAAGCTTGGCTTGGAATTGGGGTCAGGAGGAGGGGTCCACTATGGGTCATCTGGCCTTTAGGTACTGTTTTTTGTTTGTTTGTTTGAATTTCAGAAATGAAGGAGGGTACATGATGAAGGCACTGATGAAGGGAAAGGATTAGAAATCTCCAATTTCTGAGAAAGGGAGAGGGTAGTTAGAGGCGGGTGGGATGTCAGAGGAAGACCAGAACCGCAGGCGTTTAGAGAAAGCCGGGTGGGCTGTTGGAGACTTGTCTTTGTCCTTGCTTTTGCTTCTCAAAAAGGGGCTCTTTTTGCACCGAGTTGCTAAATTGTTATCCCCCGGATAACCCAAGAGAGAAAGGAAAAAAAAACAGCAATAAATGAAATGAATAACAAATGACGCTACATTAGCTGAACGTACTTGTCCAGCCCAGGAGAGATGGAAACAATGCCCACGGCACAACCTGAATCAGGACTCGGTGAATCATTTAGGCTCCGACTCCATTTAGTTAATTCAGTGGCACCCTTGTGCCAATGCTTTACTTAGCACCTGAGGAGAAGTCTATATTGCTCTAGGAGACGATGTGTTAGACCATTTTTCAATTTCAATGTGTTAAATTATTAAACAAGGATATTTATTAATTTAGGACCTGGCATTTCTTATTCATCCATTTTAATGACAGGTTCCTGACAACGTGGCTCCCACACAACTAACTCCTGCTCCTATTCAAAGACCTTGGGACACTTAATGGTATGTTCCTGGCTGGCGGTAATGAAATAGCCTACGTCAACTCTTCACTAATAATTCTTGTACATCTAAATAACCTCTTCTAGCAGGATGAGTTTGAAGGTAATGAAAATACCCTTTTGATACCAAAACACCCTCTCCATCAAGAATTATTCCCATTTAGAGCCCTATGCATCCTCTACTCTAAACCTCCCCTTCATGGTCTTTAAATTACAGTCTGACCAGAGCAGACAATTGGTCTTTCTGAGCATGTCATGTACATGAACATCACTGATTCACCCAATTTCTGATTGAGGGTTCAAGTCCATAGAGCAGTGGTTCTCAACCTTGGCTGCACATTAGAATCACCTGGGAATCTTGTTATGGGGTGGGGCCACAACATTAGTAACAAAGAAAAAGAATTTCCAGAGGATGAGGCCCAGAAATCAGGATTTTAAGAAGATT